TTATACCTTGTCCATTTAATTTTCTGTTACCCACTACTTGTTTTTTTTTTTGTCACTTTTTATTGTGTGTGCAATTAGTGTATATTCTAATACTTTTTGCACAGTACCAAAACTATCTTTTGCTAGTAGTACCAACAACCTCATTTTTTATTTTACTTTTTATTGTGCAATAAACTGCTCAGCTTATTAATATTACAAATCAGCTCTTACTCCTAAACCAATATTTATCTCATAGTGACTATCTGTCCATTTAACTTGTTTACCATTACTTAAATTGTAGTTCCTTATATATTTTTATTGTCCTTTATTTTAGCTTTACATAAACCTACCTTAGATCATTATTCGCAAATTGTTAAACTATTAAAGGTGTTATTCTCAGGTGCTAAGTTAATAAAGTTCACTAATTTTGCCATTATAATTCAAAGTCATTTATTTGATTACCACTTTATGGTTCACCACAACTTATATTAGTCCCTTTTATATTTAATTTATATTATAATTCTAAACCTTTGAAGAAATTACCTTTAAAGTACTACCTACTATCTATTCCCAAGCTCCATTATTTGATCATCACTTTATTTGTTCACCACAAATTTTTTTAGTCCCTTTTATATTGTCTCCTTTTTTTTATGCTGTTAAAAAACTACCTTAGCTCACATTATTTTTTACATTTGTTAAATAATTCAGGTTGCTATTTTTTTTTTAGCTTTAGAATATTTACTTTATTTTTTACCTTAATTCTAACTATAGATTCAACTACAAATCTTATGATTACAAGCAGTGATCTGATACCAACCTCTTATTAATGAACTTAATTGATTTCAAACAGTTACTGTAATTACTACACAGCAGAAACAATCAGAGGCACTTCTCGACGCCAACACAAAATACTATCTTTAACTACAATATCAGATCTTTAAGCAAGCATTATGATGACCTCTAGCGTTACTAAATTCTGCATGCCAATATGTCCTTCCATTACACTAACTGAAAACTCGGCTAAAGCCTGATAATACAGATGTCTATTGCCATTCCTGGTTTACACAGCCATACACAACTACCATTCCAGACACAAAAACAGGGGGTGGCACAGCAATTTATACTCAGGACAAACTAGAATGATATCACTAAATACTTGCCAAGTGGATGAAACATGGGGAATATTTAATACGCTAAACTCAAATCCAAAAATACCTACAAAAACCTCTCACAGTGATAAACATCTAACAGGAATTCCAACAATCAAACATTAGCCAATTTAGTCAAAACCTAGGAAGTAAGATAACTGATGCACACATGATACATAGATCACTACTACTCTCAGGTGACTTCAATATAATCTCCTGCAAGGACAGGACCACACGTTACTGAATTTCACAAACACAATGAGTACTGCATGTTGCTTCAAACAGTAACAAAAACCTACATGAGTTACAGAGATAGTGTTTCCCTACTTGACCACATCTGGACCAACACCATATCACCCTTTAAATTTCAGGCTTAGTTCTAATTACAGATAATACCACAGACACGTACACTAATTTCCTCTAACAACTCTTGGTAAATACCCCCAAGACACTACAAAAGTCACCTTCACGACTTCACAATGAGGCAGCCATTAATAACTTCACAACAGCAGTAACAAACATTGACTGGCAGCATTCTCCAAATCCATATAATACAAAACACCGATATGAAAACCAGTAATAATTGGGTCACATAACCAGAGACCAAACAAATCGTTACTCGTCAATCCCTAACCAGCCTGATAAGAAGGGCAAAAAATTGTATTATGAGAACAGATTATCCAACTTACCGAGGTGATATAAATAAAGACCTGGAGACCTATCAGAAATTCTGGAACTAAAATAGGATATCACGACCATAGCCGAAATAAAATTAGCAAAAATCAGATGAACCCCAACTCCCACCAACAGAAACAGCAAACAGATCAATGATGTCTTCTCCACTATAGGCCAAAAACCTTGCCTAAATATCCAAGCTCTAGAGATACCCCAGACCAAATGATACCTCACTGGCAACTACCCGAACACACTGTTCTAGTCGACTAACCCTCCGAAGTCTCCTTATTATTCAACGCATGAAAAAACAAGGCAGGAGATTTAAAGACCTTCACCACCCTTTATATACAAAAAAGCGTCACAAAGTTACTTTCACCATTCATTGCAACTCTCTTTAACAAATCCATTGAATCCCTCCACCTTCCCTACAGTTCTCAAATAGCAAGGGTCACCCGATTCCATAAGGAGGAGACCAAACAGAGTTTGCAATAACTATAGTACAATATCCAATTTACACCTCTCTCAAAAATCTTCGAAAATTAATTCATAAACGAATCTACTCCTACCTCATCTCCTAACATTCTCAACCCCTGCCAATTTGGAGTCAGGCCTAATAAAAATACTAATGATGCTAGTATACAATGCTAGAACATATATAGACTGCAATAGAGGAAAGAAGAAGTCCTCTGGGGATCTTCATTGACTTACATAAAGCTTTTGATAACAGTTGACAATGACTGCTCACGTAAAATTGTCACACTTGGTCTATACGAGGGCACTCCCTCAACTTACCTCAAGTCTTACCACAGCAACAGAAGCCAAGATGTGTACGCAAAATGGGGAAGCTTTCCGCACAAACAATTACAAGTTGGTTGTCCACAGGGAAGTGTCCTTGGCCCTCTTTCTCTTTATCCTATACATAAATGACCTACCAAATGACTTCGCAAATTACTCAAATCCACACTTTTTGCAGATGATACCACAACGTCTTCTTCACCCGAGTCCTAGTCACGCTGGTCAATACTGTAACACGAATTAAAGAAAATATCTACTGGATGGGATGGGACTAACACTACTTACATTAAACATTGACAAAACCTACTTCATTCGTTTGGTAGCAGAGCTACAGAATGTACCTCTTAACATAAACGATAAACGGATCGCCTATCACAAAGCTAACAGCGGGAAAATCTTAGGAATCCACCTCGATATAGTCTCAAATTTCATACACATATACAACAAATTTCTAAGAAAATTTCAAGACTTGTAGGTATACTATCGAAGTACGGTACTATGTTCCACAGTCATACCCTGGCCCTTTATCACTCTCTTATTTACCCCTATCTCACCTATGGAATTTTGTGAATGGGGCTCACAACAATAACTATCTCAGACCACTAATTACCAACAAAAGGCATTGCAGTTAGAATGATAACAATTCACATCCACTACAGGAGCAAATCCACCAATATTCAAAACCTCAACCTTACTCACCATACAAACATCCATACTTATTATTGCACTTATTACATACATAGAAACACTTAACTCTGATATTACCCCTCCCCTCAAACATCTCCTTGCCAACCTCACAGAACACATGACCATCATACAAGGCACAGATCATCTTTGATGTTCCTCGTGTCCATTCTCACGCTTATGCAAAAACTCCAATGCACATAAAAGGCCCTAAAATCTGGAATTCATTACCTGTAAATATAAAAGGAAATCACTAGCCTGTTTATTAAATTTCAAGTCTTCTCCTCAAAGTTCTCTTACTCATCAAAACCAAATAAATACGAATAACTGAACCATATAAATTGTTATCTTAATGTTACTCACAATTATATCACACCAAAATGTTAAACCTAACTTTGATTATTTTTTTTTTTTTTTTTTTTAATACACTAACTGAAATGAAACAGCAATGCATGCAACCATATGACCTGTCTTTGTAATACTCATAGTATTTTATAGATTATTGTTTACATAATGTCTTATCACTGATTTCATCATTGCTTAGTTAATCTTAAGTAATTTAGCCAGCGGTAATGTATGACTAGTATAAGTGGCTTTGGCATGCTTGCTCTTATCTGTTTTTTTTGTACCTCTGTATGTATGCTAAAATTTATAAATAAATAAATAAATAAATAAATAAATAAATGAACAGAGGAAATGTTAGTTTAGTGCCAGGAATACCTACATTGTTTATTCTAGACCCTATTTTGAAATTGGAATATTTTGAACTTGGTGTTAAATTGGCCAAATTACCAATTTCCGATCACTTTATTTTGTAGTTGAAACAGTTGACTTGGCGATTTCTTGTGCTCAATCGATAGAATAGAAGTAGTACTAGTGAAGTAGTGAAGAATTTGGTCGACTGGAATAATGTAATTGGCCTAAAATGGGAGTCAAAGTCGGCAAAATCACCGATTCGTAAATATCGCTGACACATCAAAATTTGCGAGAGCATAATTTCGTCAGTTTTCCATCAAATTTCGTACTTTTTGTTTTATTGCCTTCAGAAAAAGATTCTCTACCATTTCACAAGAAAAAATAAAAAAAAATTTTTTTTTGAAAATTCTTGGACACTGGGGCACCACTTCAGATTTTGGCCTTGGACCCTGAAGGGGTTAAATTCAGGAATGGGCAAATTCTCCATTATTTTAGCATATTCTTTTAAAAATTATCTCTGTCAGCATTTGTCTTTTTAGTATCTCTGAACTCAAGAGACTTTTAATTTAAAGCGTAAGCATTTTTCTTATGCACTTTCCTCTTAATTACAGCCTCTCCTCAATTAGCAACGTACTCATTTACCGACGATTTGGACCTACGACGGGCTCTCTGAGCAATATGTAAACCTAAATAATGTATATTAGAGCTGATTTCTCTTCGTATTCTGTTTATTGCAATATACACTACACTGCTGTATAAACATTTAAAAATATATCACAGATGTTATAAATGGTGCAAAGGGGACATTAAAACAATATCAAAGATGGTTGACAAACTTGCTACCATTATAGTATGCTCCTCACTCAGCGATGAATTTGTTTACCGACATGGTCTTAGGAACGGAGCTCCGTTGTTAGATGAGAAGAGGCTGTACTGTGAAAACTTTGCATAGCATTTATTTTTCTCATAAATATACTAATCTGTTTATTTTTTATTGTTAATTGTTGCACAATGTCTCCCCAGGGACAGTCCCCAGACCCAGAACCAGGAACACCCCAGAAGTGTTACTGTAGCAACAGAAGCCTGGTCAGTTCTGTTAGGAAGCCAAGTATCACCTGTCACTGTTGATATGACAACCTTAGTGCCATGTCTTGAAGTGAGAGCTTCATTTACACAGAGCCAGTTTCATGTGGATCAGGAAGTGGGTGTGATAGTCATGATCAGGTAATTATATATTCAGTATATCATATGTTTTGAGCGACATCCTTGCCATATTGGCCAGGTAGGTAGTTAAGTAGACCCCAGGAAGGTGGCAGGCCAGTGCAGTATCCACTCTACTATACTAGCAAAATCTAGCATTGACTTACCATGAGTTTTAACCCTCTATTCAGAGAATTGTTTACAATCATATCATCATGATTTTGCGAGTCAGTTAATTGCAATCATCCTGTTTGTAAAAGGAGTTATTAATTTCTTCTTCTTTCAACACACGGCCGTTTTCCACCGAGGCGGGGTGGCCCAAAAGGAAAAACAAAGCTTCTCCTTTTAAATTTAGTAATATATACAGGAAAAGGGGTTACTAGACCCTTGCTCCTGGCATTTTAGTCGCCTCTTACAACACGCATGGCTTACGGAGGAAGAATTCTGTTCCACTTCCCCATGGAGGAGTTATTAATTTATGTGCACTAAAATATGTTACTTCTGGTGTTCTAATGAACAGTGTCCTGTGATATTTAGCTTTTCATATTTTTTGAAGGGTTCAGCAGACTTGCTTGGTAAGCCATTGTCAGGAACTTTTTGTGGATGGTTATTATTTGTCATTCCAGTATTATAGTAAAGCACTGGTTTGGTAATAGAGTTGTGGATGAGTGGAACAAACTCCCAAGTACAGTTATTGAGGCTAGAATGTTGTGTAGTTTTAAAAATAGGTTAGATAAATACATGAGTGGGTGTGGGTGGGTGTGAGTTGGACCTGACTAGCTTGTGCTGCTGGGTCTGGTGCCGTGCTTCTTCCTTGAGCGGAGGTGACTAGACTGGGTGGGTCATTGGGCTAATCTGGGGGGTGGGGGGACATGGACC